CCCCCCGGTACCCACTGCCCGGGGAGAGCGCCCCCTGCCCAGCCCCCCGGTACCCACTGCCCAGGGAGAGCACCCCCTGCTGAACCCCCCGCTAACCCCATTACCCACTGCCTGGGGACAGCGCCCCTGCCCAGCCCCGGGAGCCCCCCTCCCCACTGCTGAGCCCCCAGAGCACAGCGCCCCGTGGCGCTGGCAGGGCGTACTTGCTGGTAGCGATGTATTCCTCCAGCTTCTCAATCCGCTTCTGATTCTCCTCGATCTCCCGCAGCTTCTGCTTGATCTTGGCCTGGGGAGGAGACGCAGCGTGAGGCAGGCGGACAGACAGACGGCTGTGCCAGAGACGGGGGAAGGGTGGGTAGCAGGGCCTGCTGCCGAGCCCGGGGCTTAGCCATCGGGAGGGAGGGAGCTCGTTAGCCTCTGGGCTCAGGACGGCCACACCGAGGGGGAGGATCAGAGATTGGCGTGGGGAGCACGCCTGGGGGATCCCAGCAGTGTGGGGTGCAGGGAGAGGAAATTGGGGAAGATCCTAGGTCCTGTCTCACCTCAGTCTCCACTTTCTTCCTCTCTTCCAGGTCCAGCCGGTCCTGATCTGCTTTCTGGTCCCGGTTAAATTTCTCCAGCTCCTGGGCTAGCGTGGCAGCTCTTTTACTGGCCTCTTCCTTCAGCCGGTGATATTTCTTCACCTGCAAGGGAGGAAGAGAACAGGACAGCAACAGCATCAAATCCCAGCTGCAGTGACATCACACAGGGAGGGCTCGCCTGGCGCTGAGATGCAGCCACTTCTGGGGTGGGGAGCTGGGGAACAGCCGCATATAACGCCACACGGGGAGGGCTCGCCTGGCACTGAGATGCAGCCACCTCTGGGGTGGGGAGCTGGGGAACAGCCACATATAACACCACACGTGGAGGGCTCGCCTGTCACTGAGATGCAGCCACCTCTAGGGTGGGAGAACTGGGGAGTGGCAATGCCATACACCCGTTTGGGACAGGAAGTGAAAGACAATCCTCTCTGTAACTGAAACTGCAGGGGGGCTAATTTGGGGGGGCAGAATAGGATCCCCAAGGTCAGTTTTGAACCAGATGCCGGGGTTCACACCCCGGCGCCTCAGATAAAAGGATCTTAATAAATACAATGGTTCAGGGCATCAACCATAGGCAACCTCTGGCAGCCCAGGCCCCCGCCCCGTTCCCTGAAGCCCGGCGCGCCCCCCGTACCTGGTTCTCTTCCAGGGTGAGGTCTCGCCCCTGGCTCTGGCTCTCCTCCTCCATGCGCTCCTCAAACTCCTGCCGAGCCTTCTCCACCGACAGCATCTCCTTCTCCAGCTCGTCCATGTCGCCTTTGCGCTTCTTGTACTGCTTCTGGGCGTTCTGCAGGGACTTCTTGGCCGCCTCCAGCTTCTTGATCTTGTGAGAGGTGTTCTCCTTGGCCTTGATGTACTGCGGCCGCTTCTGGTTCAACTCGGAGTCCTTCTCCCTGGGGAAGGGGGGGCACCATGGGTTCCAGATCCCCACCCCGCTCTAGGCTGTGCCTGTAGGATCCTAGGACCTCCAACTTGGACAGCCCACCTGCTCCATTCTAGATTACAGCGCTTCTAAAGTGCATGTCTATGCCTTTCTAGACACCCCAACCTAGACAGTGTCAGCTTGATTATGCTAAATCACGTTTCTAGATCATACATCATGTTCTAGGACACCCAACCTAGACCATCCTACCCAGCCAGGATCACCTGATATGCTCTAGTTCAATGTTTCTGGAGTCTGTATCCATCCTGTTCTAAGCCACCCAACCTAGACAGCATCACCTGGTCTATTCTACACCCCGTTTTACGAGAGATTACCAGAGTGGCATTCCAGGCCATGCAATGCAGACAATGTCATCAGCCTGATTCTAGGGTGTACCTCCGAACTGATGTAGACCACTCAATCTAGACAGTGTTACCTGCCACATTATACATTACCTTGTTCTAGAGCATATGCCCATACTGTTTCAGGTCACCCAATTTATAGTTCACCCACATTCCTGCACCATCACCTCCTGTTCTAGATCAGCCATGATTCTGGAGGGGACCGTGACCACCCTCATTCTCGACCAAGCCCCATTACACACAGTTCCACCACTAGACCCATTCCAGAGAAACTTCCATATACCACACCCATTCTAGACCGTACTAATGTTGAGCTAGTCTGACCCATCCTCCTTGATCAACGACCCCTTGTTCTAGACAATGCAATGTTCTAGACCACACTACTGAGATCAGAATCACCACTCTACTAAATTTCATCACCTCATTCCAGCCCAGGCCACATTCTAAACCCAACTTCATTCTAGAATATAATGCTACCCTGCTGGCTTCAGCCAACCTTACTCAAACCATACTGCTACCCCGCACTTTGGTTCAAGACCTAACTCAGTCCTAGATCACCCTTCCATACCATCCTTCTTAAAGACTATACAGTCACACTCAGCTCTAGACCCAATTCCCTTTAGACTGCACCCAAGATGCCCAAGACTGTATCAGTATCCCCTCATTCTAGATTGGGCTCCTTACTAGACCACACACTTCCCTTTCTAGCCCACAGCAGCCCTATCCCCACCCCTGTTCTAGTGCACCACAATGGTTCTAGAGTACAGCCCATAAATACTCATGTTCTGCCAGCTCGCTCCCATTCTAGAGTAAGACCCTGCCTGGAGTGTCATGTCCCATTCTAGAGCAAAGCCTCTGTCTGTTCTAGTGCAACCCATAATTTTACAGCGCCGCTGTCCCCTTTCTAGGGGAACCCCAGGTTCTAGAGTGCAGCACATACCCACTCATGCTCTAGAACAAGACCCCGCTGCAGTGTTCCCCATCCCATCCTAATGTGCAGTCCTTCCCCTAGACCTAGAAGGGGAAGGGCCATTCTAGAGCCCTTCTTCTGTTCTAGAGTGCACAGTGACGTGATCTAGAAACTTTAGTCCTGTTCTGCAGTGCGCTAGTCCAGAATGTGTTCATTCTCCAGTTCTAGGTCATAACAGCACCCTCTGGCTCCGGTGTCTCCCAGCCCCACTCTGGAGCTTGGTCCCCTCCCGTTCTCGCACCCAAGTTTTACCGCGCGCTGCCCTCACTTGATCTCCTTCTCGATCTGCTGCTGCTCCCTCATCATCTTGCCCAGCTCCTTCTTCTTGTCCTTGAGCTCATCCTCCACCTTGTCCATGCGCTTCTTGTCCTTGTCGATCTCCTTGTTCTTGGAGCCCAGCTCCTTGTTGAGCTTCTCGATCTCGGCCTCGTTGTGGTACAGCTTGAAGAGCTGCAGCTGGACCTGGGCCCGCACCACCTCGTCCTTCAGGCGCTGGTACCGGTCCGCCTGCCCAAGGGGTGTATGGATAAACACCGGGTCGGGGGAGAGTCCCACCCCACCACCTCCCTCCTCTTCTGCCCTGGCCCCTCGGAAACCTCGCCCCACTTCCTCCTGCCCCCCAACCACTCCCTCCTACTCCCAGCAGATACCTCCGACCCAGGCCAGTCAAGGGATCCCACTCCACCCTCTACCCTCATATCCTGCCCCACTGCCCCAGCCATTAGAGATCCTGCCCCAGCCATTCCCGCCCCCCGAAATCCCGTCTCCATCATTCCTCCTTCTCCGTCCACTGAAGGATCCCCTCCAGCCCCAACCTCCACCTAAAGATCCCACCTCC